AAAAAAAAAAAAAAAGAATTCTTTAAGGAGTTGGATTTAGGGGTTAATTTGTAGTGTTATTTTTAAATATCAATTACATCTTAGGTTTATTTTTGTAAGATTTTTAAGTGAAATAAATCAAAATGTAGTTGATTTGAATGTTCCATAGAGATTTTAATGGCCACTGAACAAAGGTATCTCCACATGGTATCTCAACTATAGTTACTATGATGTGAAATAAAGAAAAAGGTACTTTTGCTTGACATGTAAGATACTGTGATTGGTTGTTTCTGTGAGACCTCAATCATGGCTGCATTATTTTATTAAAAAATAATAAAATGTAAAATGATTTAAATGCCTAAGTTGAAAAATACAAGATAGAACCTTCATTTTGCCTTCTTAAAGATGAATGTACTTAAAGTGATTGTGATTTGATCTTGAAATACTTATCTATTGTTTGTATATAGAGCAGTTCTGAACTTGGCAGATATGTGAAAAATTAACCAAAAATGAAAACTTGCATTTTCGTATTTTACTTTGATTAAACATACTGTAGATTTATTTAAATCAGGAACATATTATGTTGTTATTTTTAAAGTGTGTTCAGTTAAATTGTTCCCATATTTAAGTAGACTCATTTGAGTTCTGAATCACTGGCCACTTACCCTTTCTTACTCTACTGCAAGGCGATGTGGACATAACGTTTCAGAAGAATCTCTCTTATCGTGTCTACGTTTCACTTCATAACAGATTTAAAACCAAATGTTGCATTCCTCTGTGGGAATACATATATATTTTGCCTGCAGCTTTGAATATATTTTCAAATTCATCTCTTTCTTACCAGACTGTGAGCTTCTTGTAGACAAAGATATTATCTTAGTTATAATTACAGCTTGAATGCCTACCAAAGTGCCAGGCATAGAATAATTCCCTTATTGAAATGAACTGATGGATATAGATTATTAAAAGAATAACACAGCATTCTATGAGACAGGCTGAATGTAAATGGTATTCTCTAATTTTAGAAGGAAGATATAGAAAATACCTGTAGCCTTTTCTTGACTTAAAATTGACATTCTGCTTTGAAGAATTCATTTTTATTCTATGCAAATGCTGAAATAGGCAGCAGCTAAACTTTATGGTACATTTTAATTAACATTATTTTCTTTACAAAATTAGAAATGATCTATGTAGGCTTCCCAGAGATGCTGACAATCATTTTAATGACCAAAGGTGCTACTTATTTTCAGCATTGATCCTGATCACAAATCTCTGGTCTACTGAGGTTTATTTATTCTTTCTTGGGGGGGAGGGGAACGCAATAAAAGCACACTATCTTTTTTGTCTGAATTATGCCATTCAGCACGGTCTCTGTTCCTTTATATTCTATTGTTACTGAATTTTAATTATTATTATTGCTGACAAATTTTTATTGCAGGTATGTGCTGCATATATATTTCTATAATATGTAAGAAAAAGTTGTATTGCTTATTAAATTAAAATGAAAATGATAAATGCTTATGTTAAATTTTTGATGTGAAAAATCTATACTGCATTTTCCTAAGGACCATTAAATGTTACTAATCAAAACATAACTTCTGACCCCCACATTAAGGGCATTTTTTTCTTTTGCCTGAATGTACATAATGGATTAATGTCAATGGAAGTCAAACATAGCCAAAAATACAACTTATTTTTAAGAGCGTCAGTGATTGTTGACTGTTTGTTTTCATGAGTGTACACGTTAATGACTGAACACCTAGAGTTTAAAAAGAGAACACTGCCAGCACCTGGAGACGCCTTTTGAAAACCTCTTGCAGCTTACTATTTCCTGACTTTTTATATCAAGACACTTTGTTTTTTAGACCACATTTAGGGTCATAGCAAAATGAGAAGTGTCGCGACCCGTCGGGCTCCTGTGGCCCCGGTCTCGTTAGCGCAGGAAGGAACCAGGCGAGAAGCGGATTAGAAGTACAAGCTTGTGGAAGGCGGGCTAGCCCTTACTTTCCGGGTAGCCCCGAGCTCCGCACCAGCCTTTTATTGAGCCAGAACAACACAGGTGAGGGGAGAAATTAACAATGACCACGTGCTGAGGGCACGGGCTCCTCCCACAAGGAGCTCCTATGGAGGAATGGCCCCCGGTCCACACCTCAGCTGCAGACCATCTTGCTCCAATGTTGGCGTCTCTTACATTTCCCCCCTCCAGTGTATTAAAGACATTTCTGAAGAGGCAAGGGAGAAGGTCTATTGTTGGTTGTTTCTGCCATCCTGCTGAGGAGCTTTCTGTTGAGTTAAAAGAAACAAAAGGGCACATAAGCATAACAAAAATACAGCATCAGAGCTAATTCAGACATAAAGGAAACTCATTTTAGCCAAACTAGGCATGGGGGAAAACTTGTCCCCTATGTGCTAATCACCACTCACCTATGTGCTATGGGCTGACCCATAGGGCTCATGACGCTTCCATGGGAAGTATTAAGCATCACCCAAAGCTTAGGTAGAGAAAAGGCTGCAAACTCAGACCCTTTCCAAAAAGCAGTGTATAACTTTAAGAAAGATCAGGTGCCCAATGAAATAGAAATGAACCCAACAAGTGAAATTCTCTTACCTTGCCGATACCATAATAACCTTTACCTTAAAGCCTGTTGTTCGAGGTCTTTGTTGTCCTAATTATCCAAGGTTTAGATGATGCCTCCTAAGCTTGCCTGGGGCTTAATATACAGCCCCAAATAATGAAATCCTGTATCAATCCTCCCACTCTGCATAGAAGCTCCTGCTGCCTCTTCAGGGAAAAGGGGCGCTGACCGCTCCTAACTGCTTCCTGCTGAGGCTGGGCAGCGACCTGAGAGGGGCAGCTCGAGTTCCCGCAGAGGAGATTGATCCAGGATTTCTCCACTATGAAATCGCCTAAGCTAAGGTCCTGGAGAAGAAAGGTTAGTGAAAACAAACTTGTTTAAGGTGCTGGTAAAGTTTTCTGCTCGTGTCGAGGCTTAATCCAGCGGGCTGGTAGCCACTGCTTTTCTTGATGTTCTGTAATAATATGGGCAAAGCCTCGACCCCAGTGCAGTACGTAACCTGGCTTCCACTCTGTCATATCAGGTTTTTTATAAAAGATAGTTTGTGGTACTGGAGAGGCTGGTGCATGAATGAGAGATGTCCAATGGCGTTCTGCAGCTCTCTTCATCATTGCTGAGATTGAGAAAATTAAGAGTGAAAAGAGCTTTAGTGAGCAGAAACCTAGGACTATTATTTAAGGGGAGGAAATGAACTGACCCCTTCTTTTAAAGCAGTAGCCAGTAAATTAGCCTTAGAGGATTCCGTTCCCATGTCAGCACATGCCCGTATATACTCCTCTAAGGGAGTGTTTTGTGCTCTCAGGTCGCAGGGCCTTTTGACACTCCGAGTTGGAATTTTCAAATGCTAAAGTTTAGAAAAGCATGTCTCTCAGCTCCGGCTGGGCAACAGCCTTATCAACTGCAGTTTTTAGTCGGGCTAGAAAGTCAGTATAAGGTTCATTT